GAGTGTGCGTGCCCGGCGGGGGAGACAACGATCTTGGGCCCACTGGTGTGACTAGAGGAGAGCCGAACGACGTGGGCAAGCACACCAGAGATGCTCTCGAGGTTGCTGTCGATGCTCTTGGGCTCGCTGAGCGAGGGCGGGATCGTGCTCACGGGACGAGTGAGCTCCCCGCGCAGGGGCATGCTGATCAGGGCGCGGACCTGGGCGAGGGGGAGCTCTGGCTTCGACAAGAGGTAGCTGAGCTTCGTGAGTGCGCACTGTGCTAGCATCGTCAGTCCCGAAGCACGTGTCCTATTGAACGCGGACTGACCTCGGGTGTCATGTCTCCGCCGCTCACTACGCCCGCAGACAGGAGGCTCCGCCCCGTTTCATACGCGTCCGACACAGAGCCTTTCGCGCACTGCGAGATCGATACGATCACAACGCCGCGGTCGCAGGCGTCCTTGAGCGCACCGATGAGGTCGGGGCGCTGCGGGGCGTTGCCAGCGCCGTATGTCTCGAGGACGACACCCTGTGTCGGCGGTGCGAGGAACGCGCGCACGGTGGCCGCAGTGATACCTGGGAAGAGGCGCAGCGTGGCTGGTAAGCGCGTGTGTGAGCGGGGCTGTGAGAGGTGTCCGGGGCGCGTTTATTTACCGACGTGTGGGCTCATCTCTGTGGGCAGTGAGGTCAGTCTCTGTGGTGAGCGGGGGGAAACAAGGCAGACGTTTATGTGATCTGAATCGCCGGAGACCCGTTTGTCGCATGACGTCGTTCCAGTTGACGATGATGTCGATACCGACTGATCCCTAGATGTCAGAGGTCTCCGTCAGCTATGTCATGGCTGGACATACCGTTGACGAGGGGAGGGAAGTTCGGGCTTGCGAAGGCATTGAGGTCATATGATGAGAACTTGGACACTCTGTTGCCTCGGTATAGCGTGTGATTGAAGTAGAGACAACATTCTGATCCCTACAGTTAGCTGGACAAGGCAAGATGGTAACAACGTGAAGCACGATACCAGGAATGATGTAGTAGCCTGCGAGGACCAATGCCCCGAGTAGGTTGTCCACCGCATCGTTGCGCAGTTGCGACAGCGGTATTTGAGCCCCAGTAACAATCTGTGGGTGCTCATGAGTACTGAGCTGCGGTCCGACTTCATCGGCATCCATACATACCACCGTCTTTCCGAGGTCTTCCAATATGAAACTCAAAGCGGATGCCGTGTAGGCCATCGTGTCCGTTCCGTGCAGAATGACGAAGGCGTCGAATGACGCGTAATTGAGCTCAATTTCGGTCGCGATGCGGATCCAATCTATCTTGTTGCATTCCTCTCAGATGCCTGGGAGACATACGTAGTGGAAGGTCCTGCCTGCGATCTCCATATTACTGCTGTCCAGCAATGGATCCCACTGTGTGCAATATGAGTAAGTAAATTCATGATACCGGACTGATGCGACATTCCTCCAGGACAGCGTAGCGGATTCTTTTCTGCATGCCGCCCGGCGCAGCACTTCTTGGGGTAATGAGGCTCGGAAGGTGCGCCTCGTACAGGTTATCAGATATCCTGTTGCTTACTGGGAGTTCCGGGTGATGGGTCTTGAAACCCCCGGCGGCCAAGTTCGCGGTGACTTGGGATATGCCTATGGGCCGTGAAGACAGCACGAGCAATGTGGGATGATGGTGCTGATTCGCCTGCGCAGCGTCAGATGTCCCAGGCCTGGCCACAGGACTAGCCCGTCCACTATTGCTTGTCCACTCGCGATATCCTTCCACGGATGATGAATGCGAGAAGAGAGAGTCTTCCAGCGGGTCGTGGAAGCGGTTCTGGGTGCGGAGGGACTCGGTGAGAAAGAAGGGCTCGGGGACGTAGCCGCGGTTGCCCAGGATCATGGTGATTGTGCCGCCCGTGTTCAGGATGAGCACCCGGGACTCGTCGGTGGCCTGCGGGGTCTCCATGGCGGTCCGCGGTGGCTGTCGCAGCTGAGTTGAGGCGTGGCGTCATACCAGATGGCATCGGGGCATTAGATCGCCTCCACGATCCTCTGACTCCCCCGTCTATAAAAGGTGCCTGCTCTATCTGTGCCGCATCCCCCAACTTGAGGAATCATGGACGCAATAAAGAAGGTATTCCAGCAGAATAATCAGTCTGTGAGTAGTATCTTCCATACATCGCTCGTCCCCTAACGCTGCAGCTCGTTAGACCAGCCCTGCGCTGCTCACATTCATCACCGCCGGGTATCCGACCCCCGAAGACACTGTCCCTCTCTTGCTCGCCATGCAAGAGGGTGGGGCGGATATCATTGAGCTTGGTGTGCCGTTCTCGGACCCGGTCGCAGATGGGCCGGCTATCCAGGAGACAAACGTCGTATGTACACATTCGTCGCCTCAAATGGCTTCATTCACTCTCTCTCAAGGTAGCCCTCCAACACGATGTGCAATATCCTCATTGCTTGGGCATAATTAGGGAGGCACGCAGCAAAGGTCTCACTACGCCCGTCCTCCTTATGGGTACGTTCTGGTACACCCCACAAGCTCTTCTGTGACTCAAGTATGGCCTAGGTTACTACAACCCTATACTTGCCTACGGCGAGGATAAGGCCATACAAGACGCCGCAGAAGCAGGCGCTAATGGCTTCATCATGGTCGACCTTCCGCCTGAGGAAGCTATTGCATTCCGCGAGAAATGCATCAAGTCAAAGTGCGTCTGCGTGATCTCCCCTTGACCTCTCTTTCCGACATGTGTACAGCTTGTCATTCGTCCCCCTCGTCGCACCCGTGACATCCGAGCGCCGCATCGAGTTCCTCGCATCCATCGCAGATTCATTCATCTACATCGTCTCAAAAGTGCGTACGTCTGCTGCATCACACCGACGTCCTCTCATCCATTGCATAGATGGGAACAACCGGGTCCTCTGAAACCGGAACTATAAACAGCGCTCTGCCGGACCTCATCGCTCGTGTGCGCAAGTACACCGACATGCCGCTCGCAGTCGGCTTTGGTGTAGCAACCCGGCAACATTTTGACCTCGTCGCTGATGCAGGCTCGGACGGCGTTGTCATCGGTAGCCGCATCATCAGCGTCATCAAGAATGCGCCCAAGGGCGAGGTGGCGAAGGCCGTTGAGACATTCTGCCGCGACATCAGTCTCAAGGGCCAGCCTCCACGGCGTCCGCACACCAATGCTGCACACAGCTCTGCATCACATGTCAGCAAAGGAAACGTACCCCCCCAAGAGATCAAGCCCTCCAGTATGCCTCATCGGTTTGGCCAGTTCGGCGGGCAATACGTTCCGGAGTCATTGTGGGACGGCCTCATCGAGCTCGAAGATGCGTATCAGACTGCGCTCAAGGACCCGGGATTCTGGAAGGAGTTTCAGAGCCTGTACGGCTACATGAACCGGCCGTCAAATCTGTACAAGGCAGAACAACTTACGAAACATGCCGGTGGTGCGACCATCTGGCTCAAGCGCGAGGATCTGTGGGTATACATTTGTTTTCCTTGGAATAGACTCTCATGCACGTCACTCTAGAAACCACACCGGCTCACACAAGATCAACAACGCAGTTGGCCAGGCATGCAGGTTAATTACACATTCGTGAAACCATGTTGATTTCTCGCCAGATCCTCCTAGCCAAGCGACTAGGCAAGAAGCGCATTGTTGCTGAGACGGGCGCCGGGCAGCATGGCGTAGCGACTGCAACTGTCTGCGCTCGCTTCGGAATGGAGTGCGTCATTTACATGGGCGCAGAGGACGTGAGACGGCAAGCCCTGAACGTCTTCCGCATTCGCATGCTGGGTGCCCAGGTAGCTCCCATTCGCCTGTTCATGCCTAATCACCGCTGATTCCTCCGAAGGTCATCCCGGTCACCTCGGGCTCGCAGACACTGAAGGATGCCGTGAACGACGCTATGCGTGACTGGGTCACGAACCTGTCTAGCACACACTACCTCATCGGCTCCGCCATCGGGCCGCACCCCTTCCCCACGATCGTGCGCGATTTTCAGCGTATCATCGGGAAGGAGATCAAGGAGCAACTGCACGCGGAGATCGGTAGGTTGCCGGACGCGGTCGTCGCGTGTGTCGGCGGCGGGAGCAACTCCATCGGCACGTTCTACGACTTCATCCCCGACAAGAGCGTCCGCCTCATCGGCGTCGAGGCTGGCGGTGAAGGTCTGTGGCACGCTACCTGTGCGCGATCTGCCGCTCACTCCGTGCACGCGCTCTAGGTCTCGATGGTGACCACCACTCTGCGACGCTCACCAAGGGCGTCCCGGGCGTGTTCCACGGCGTTAGGACGTACATCCTGCAGTCTAACGCAGGTCAGATCATCGAGACACACTCCATCAGTGCCGGCCTCGACTACCCCGGCGTCGGCCCCGAGCATGCCTGGCTGAAGGACTCGGGGCGTGCGGAGTACGTCGTCGCGACTGACGAGCAGGCGCTGCGTGGCTTCCGGATGATCACACAGCTCGAAGGCATCATCCCAGGTATGTTACCTTAGTTGTGCGAACACAGCGGCCTGCTCATACGGTTCATGCCCCAGCTTTGGAGTCATCGCACGCTGTGTGGGAGGCTGTCCGGCTGGCCAAGACGTTGCCGAAGGAGGCCCACATTGTAGTTGTATGTCTCGTTCTTCTCAGTGCTGTATGGTGCTCATGGTGCTCTTTTCCCAGTGTTTGTCTGGCCGTGGAGACAAGGACGTGGAGCAGATCTCACAGCTTCTGCCTGGGAAGTGGGAGGACATTCTAGATTGGCATATCACTGCATGAAGTGTTCTGCCGATTACTATGTACACCAGTATACTCTAGTGAAGATGTATGTAACACGTAGCCGAAAGAGAACATCCGGAGGATGTGTTACTTCAGGAGTGCTCGAGAACGTGCTCTGTAAAGTGTCACAGTGGTGTATGTCTGCAGGGTTTGAATCCCGGCCAGCAACTGCAAAAAGATAGCTTTTCTTGGAGACGGTCAGATTACTTGCAAGTTGTAGCTGGGGTCCAAGCAAAAAAAAAAGAAAAAAGACTCCCGCAGGGGTCGAACCTGCAATCTCCTGATCGATGATTACATGTTAGTAGTCAGACGCCATGCCATTTCGTCAGGCGACCAATGTGACACAAAAAAGCTATTGACACCATATATCTACCAGCCACGGACCTGACTCGATCGCATCCACGGTGAAGGTGTCCTATTGAAGAACATCGGTTTGTGTGAGTACGCCTGGCTACCCACCACATTGCTTACGTCTGTTCGTTCTGCTTGATCTCCTTCTCGTTATGTCGGATCGTGCTATACCCGCCGCTCGTGCTGTCGAGAATCTCGCAGCGAAATTGCGCAGAAGGCAAGTGCTCCAACCTGTACATGCCTTGAATCACACTGATGTTTGCACAACCGCTGTAGGCAGGTAGTAGGCTCGCGTGAGGCGGCCCTTGAAACTGTCCTCGTTTTGCGCCAGGTCGTCGCCAAATCTCGTTTCACCAACATCGACCAACTCGTCTCCCTGCTGCGAGAGGTCGGGAAGAGGCTCGTAGAAGCGCAGCCGAAAGGTACGTCGGTTCTCTTGCCGTAGACCATACAGGTTCCTCAACATCTGTAGAGCACACCGTTGGCAACGTCGTCCGCAAGGTGTTGCATAACATCCGCGAAGAATATAACACTGCGACGAAGGGCGCCGCACCAGCACGGAATGTGTTCTCCATCTCCAAGTTCGTCCTGCAGGGGCAGCCCAGGAAGCAAATCGCTGCACCGAAGACAGAGTCGACGATGTCACTGAAAGAGGACGATCCCGATGATCCGGATTCATTCGCGAAGGGTTTGAAGCCGGTGCTGATGGAGGCCATCCAAGACGTGCTGGACGAGCTCGAAACCGTCTACGACAATGTATCAAAGACGGCTAAGGATCATATCCATTCAGAGTATGTCCGTGTCCCAAGGTGAAATGGAACGTCCCTGCTCATGTCTGCTGTAGCGAAATCATCCTCACAATTGGGCATTCAAAGACGGTGGAAGCTTTCCTCAAGTCTGCAGGTCACTATCGGAACTATACTGTCATTGTTGCGGAAACAGGCCCCTCGTACGTTATCGCTACTGTCTGTCAAGTGGTCCGTCGCTCACTTCTCTCTGCAGATACAGCGGCCACGAGATGGCTACCTCGCTTTCCAACGCAGGAATCTCGACGTTCCTCGTCCCGGATTCCTCGATCTACGCGATCATGTCGCGCGTCAACAAGGTCATCATCGGCGCGCACGCCATCCTCGCCGACGGCGGCATGTTTGCCATAACGGGCTCGCTGCTGGCCGCTACCGCCGCCCGCGCACACAGCACACCCGTTGTCGTGTGCACAGGCCAGTTCAAGCTCACGCCGGCGTGGAATCTCTACCACGAGTATGGTGCACTGGACTTCGCCGACCCAAGTAGCGTGCTGGGGTACGAAGAAGGTCTGCTTGTTGACAAAGTGGATGTCATCAACCCGTACTACGACTACGTCGGGCCGGAGCTCGTTGATGTCTTTATCACAAACGAGTGAGTTGTCTTACGTACAACTGACCTCGTACTCTAAACGTTAACGTTCCACTCCACTCTAGTGGCGATCACCCTCCGTCGTCGATTTACAGGTGACCGCCGCGCATATGCATATCCTGATGACGGCCGCTGATGCTCTCCGCACAGGCTCGTAAAGGAGAGTTATGATGACGAGGACCAGCACCTATAACACGCGCATCATCAATGTGCATCAACATCAGTCGTTATCGCGGCGGACGTTGATCAGGAGCTATACTTATGTAGCTGCACGCCTGACGTCCGGCCGGACCACAGGCGTGGGCAGGCGCCATGTCTGTATCGCCGCCCCGACATGACACATGAGGACGCTGTGGCCTCAGGCAAGCGACCGCGCGTCGAGAAAGAGGGGGCGCGGAGTGAATGGCCGGTGCTGTTGAGGAGCATTCTAGACGAGAAGAGAACCATGTATACTACATTGCTGTACTGGACGCACATCGGGCGGATAAAGGAAAGAGGGTTGATAATGTACGAACGAACAGCAAGATAGAAACACAGCCATCATGCAGAAACCGAACACTGCAGCTCCACCTGCGATGCATAAAGTTATGGTGTGAAGAACAAATTGAGTGGGCCGAGAACTGATGGACGGGATAAAAAGAGCGATGGTATAAATGTATGGACAAAGGACGAACAGAGAAGGCAGGGGAACACGGTTTATTTCACTGAACGACGCAGCATCCCTTCGGGCCCCCGCCTTGTGATGCATATGGGTCTTCGTTCTTTGCTACAGGCCCCCATACAGATGGTACCTAAAGGTCGATAGTCGGTCAGCATGATACACCGGCGGGGCGCAGGGGGTCGGTGTATGCGTTGCGCGCGGGCAAAGAATGAACAGAATACGCACAAGAGGGTCTTTCGTCGTTTTGCAGTAGCGAATCAAACTGGTTCGAGGAGCGTTGCATTTGTCATGAGAACTCGCCGACTGTCTTCACATTATGAAATGACGCACCTTGCACTGGCTTCGCTAACTCGTATTCGTGGCCTCGCTAGGTCCTCTCGTAGCCGTTGGTTGTGCTCCGTGAGGCGGCGAAGCTTGAGCTCGGACATTGACTGCTTGTGCGGTCGGCCGTTCATGTTTGATGAGTCGGGGGAGGGGAAGGTGATGTATTGGAAGTCTATGGGGTCCTTTTGATGCGCTGGAGGACTTCTTACGACGCTCTGGAGGAGAAGAGAAGGTCAATCAGCGCACAGAGTGCAATGTACCTTGCCATGCTCACCGGCAGTCAAAGTCGGGGTCCAGAGTGTGCTAGGCCAGACGAGCTCTCGGGGGTCGACAGAAAGAGCGTGTGCGGGGTTGTGCACGGCGGTGAGGGGAGGATAAATACAACAAAGGGGAGCAGGGCGGCGAGGAAGAGGGCGACGATATGGTCAGAAGAGACGCATGAAACTCTCAGGACTGCACAGGTCGGCGATTGCCTCAGTTGGTCGCCAGCGCCTCCGAGTCAGCACGCGTGACACGCCCGTCCTGTCGGACAACCGGACTCACGCTCAGCACAGCGCAGCCCACGTCGAGCTCATGCTCAGGAACAGCCTGCAGCCATCTTTACCCACGCTAAAGAGCTGCATTAGGTCGAGGAGAGATACCCAGCGTAGGTATACATGAATAGAAGGACCGATCCGATACTAATGCAAAGCAGTAACGACGAGCTGAGAGGAAGACCAAATTGAGGCATAGGGTTATCCATATGTACTAATGCTAAATGCCAAAGTGTGAGATGGATGGCGAGATGTGAGTGTGACTGTTCAAAAAACCAACAAATGAGACAGAGGATGTCAGACGCGAGCGGTGGGGTCGAGGTGCGCAGGGTGGGGAGGAGGCGCGGTGCGCGGTGCGCAAGCGGAGGTAAGGACATAACGGCTGTATGGTAAGATGCTTATAGGAGCATGGCCCGTTAGCAGCAGCACGCAGAGCATACAAGGCCTACACTCACTCTGTAGGCAGCTACATGACTAGACAGCCGCAACCTGCCGAAGGTTGTGGTGCACCGAACGGATCCTCCGCTTTACTGACGGTACCCCAGACCGATGGGACCTGCGACATCACAAACGATCAGCGTCACATCATTGACGAGATAAATCAGCTATCAGGCCGAGAGCGCGGGTGGTTCGTGACAGTGCTGTGGGCAGTACCAGCGAAAGATGTTATGGTGTTCTCGACTACGCGACTTCGAACCGCCGGCAGTTCCGTGCCGAGTCGTGCCAGCGAGGCGGGAGACGAGGCCACTCACAAGGTAATCCTTTGTGCTCTTGCAGTAGTTGATCAAGCTGGAGAGAATACAAGGCGCGTCACCGCAGTTTTCACGCCTAGCCGCCGGTCTACGTACCTTGCACTAGCTTCGCTCACTCGTATGCGGGGTCTTGCAAGGTCCTCTCTCAGTCGTTGATTGTGCTCTAGGAGCCTCCGGAGCTTGAGCTCGGACGTAGATACCTTCGGCTGGCGGCTGCTCATAGTGTGGGGCGGCGGGAGGATTTAGGGGGCGTGGTTGGATTGACAGGTGGGTAGGTAGGGAAAGATTGAAAAGACAGCGCGGTGTTGGGTCCTACACCTACACTTGGCGAAGCAGGCTGCGCGCGCGGCTGTCGTGGCTGCAACGCACTCCAGAAAGAGGGAAGGGAGGAAAGAGCGGTAAAGGAGCGGCAGGCTATCTCGGGGCGAGACGATGTGGAGGCGCAGGATCAGGTCGCTGGAATCCCCCAAGCGCCGAGCTGGGCCCTGCCTAAACGGGCCATTGCCATCACCCTCACGTGCTCGCGTTGCGACTTCTTCCGCCGCGAACCTTGAGCCGGACACGGCCTCGGGTTGCCCGTCATGGCTCGCCAACAGACCAACCTCGTCCAGAAGTTTTCCCCTCATGCTGCCCGCTCCCACAAGGCTGCCGTTGCGAAATACGGTCAGTTGAAGTGCGTTTCCAGTGCCCAATGTCTGACGCCGTAGTGCAGCGAGAGCGCCGCAGAAATCACCACTTGCGGCAACATATCCCTCCGCGAGGAGTGCGAGATCAGCGCTTCCGAGCGTGAACACGAACCGCTTTCTCAGGAATCGAACTAAGCTCGCGGCAATCACAGAAGAACCCCTCGAAGAAGAGGAGGAAGAACAGAGCGCATATAGCCATGGTCGTGACTTGGCCCACGAGTTCGCTGCACTCGAGCGGGACGAGGATCTTGCGTATCGCAAGCATGCCATCAGACAAGATGAAGATGACAGCATGGACTGGGATGATGAATCCACACTTGTCGCTATGCTTCAAGAAAGGTATGTGAGAGTACCATTGGTCGTATGTATGCTAACTTCAACAACAGCTCTGCCGTCGACGAGCGAGAGGAAGTGGCAGCGTTGGCGAACAAGCTGAAGGCGCCGATGGCTGCACAAGGCGTGGCAATGAGGGAGTATATCGGAGAGACACTCTTGCCAGTCATTGCTCGCGTGAAGGATGTTCATGCAACCCTGGAAGCGAAGAGTAAGGATCTCTAGGTTTCATGTGGTGCGCATATAATGATGCTGTCACCTTCAGTTGACCTTCAATTTGCTGGCGGGCTAGTGGCATTC